TCCGTCGTCGATCTTCCTTGATGATTTCACGAATTTTTTCAACATTTTCATGTGTTCGGGCCGTGGAAGGAAGACCAGAACGAGGTTTGTCATCAATTGACATTTCACCATTTTTGAAACCGGAAAACCACTCAAACACTTGAGTTTTCCCCCATAGCATCGTCCTTGTACGCCGTTTTTAACATTTCAAGAGTTTCTGTTCCACTTTTCCTGAGCAAAAAGCAGAATTTCACCACCGTATGCTGTTCACGAAAATCAGCCATTGCAAAAACGACGATCACACAAAACAGTTGTCACAATTAACTCTGCCGAAACTAGTCCTTACCTTCTGAAGCAACGGTAGTCGGCTTATCGACTCAGGAATGTTAGCTCTATGGGCCCATAGCGGCAAAACGCGGTACTACAAAAGCTCTGCCCACAAAAAAATTAGTTCGGTTTCTTTTGGGTACCTCGTCGTAATTCTTTCCTCTGTCATTCGATGGTGCAGGTTTTGATTCTTTGGATTTATGTAAATCTGATTCAATATTAGCCCCTCTTTGTGATGTAACAACCATCCAGTTTGGTAGATGTCTTTTTATCTATAAGTAAATCATCTATTTGTTTATCAGTTTTGCCATCCGGTGACTTGCAAGTGGTTTTATGAATGATTTTATGATTCAGTTTACTGCTTCCAATTAACATATTCTTGGAAACTGCAAAGTTGACAAGTCTGCTCCCATTCTTACTTGTGTTTTCAATCAAAATATGCATCCCAGCATGATTTCTCAAGATATTTTCTTTGCCAGTTTTTGCATTCATGTCACCCACTGTAATCCTAATACATTGGCTGGATGCTTATCATATGCGCTTTCCAACTTGTCATAAAATGCCTCCTTCCCTTCCTCCTCTTTATCCTCAGTTGGTGCATGTGCATTAATTATGCAGATATTAAAGAATCTGCTTTTCTGATGCAAATAATACATTCTCATACCTAGAGGTTCAAAGCCTATTACCATATGATTAATTCTCTTGTTTGCAACAAACCCTTTCCCAAATATATGTTTACCATCATGGCAGCTGTAATATAAATCACAATCACACTTCTGCATCACTCCACTTCCACCCACCATAATTCTTGTATAGCAGTAATATCTGCTCTGTAGTCAGAGAGGACATCTGTAAGCATCCTAAGGGAGCATGGTCTGATTAGGGAAAGTACATTCCAAGTAAAAAGCCTTATCTCAGTAGTCCTTTTCCAGTTGCTGTGTCATCTTAGAGTGGACTGGCTGGCTGTTCCTTGAGCTTTCTTAAGTGATTTTTTATGATGTAGGTTTGTTAACCCTGTGCCAACCCCCAGCAATCCTGGAGGCCTGATGTTTCCTGTTGGGGTTGTCTCCCCTAGCTGGCTTGTCCCAATTTGGGAGCATTAGGAACTCGCTCTTTCACCCTTGCATGACTTAGTGTTGCCCAGGAGTCATGACAAGAACATGCATGCATTGGACTGAGTAGGAATAGGTGGCATTTTTCATGTTTTAATGATATTCATCTGCCAGAAGAATGAGTACCCTTTGACGCCCAGATGTTCTGTTAGGAGGATCCTTTCTTGCATCAGAAATTTCCTCATCGATTCCACAGTGTGAGTGCCATCTTAGCATAAACCTGCTATCATTCTTCAGTCAGTATGAACAAGATGCTGCATTTTCTCAACATTTTCATTGGTTGTTGCTGTTACTGGCTCGTAAGATCTAGAATCATCGTGGATGTCTTGCAGATTTCATCAACTTAATCTAACTATTCATAACTTTTGGTGGCTGTTTTCTTCAATTTCACAGAAATGAAGATTAATGTGCTGTTGAAACAAATATCAGGCATGGTTATGTTATTGAAGCTCTGAACATTTTAGTTTAATTAAATACCCTGAGACACAATAAATGTATAAGAATACATGACTGCTCAAATAATAGGTGAAGGAACATGCTACAGAGTGCACTGAC